GTATACAAAAGTTATTGATTTCAGAAAACATTTTGTTTTCCTGCTTAGTAAAAGAGAACATTGAAAAATTAATTTTTTTTACAAAAGTTAAGGCTGTCCAGATCTTTGACACAGAAAGTCCTGCGGTCCCCCAAATGACACAATTTCACACTGACAGCAAGCTTTCTGGGCAACAATTCCGACCTTCCGATGTTGCACAGGAGGGGAGAGGGGAAGCAGAGGCTGATATAAGCTAGATGAACATGCAGCTGAGAGAGCTGGTCTAAGGACTTCCCAGGGAAATTTCCCTTTGAAACTTTCCAAATATCATCTTTATTCTATACCTTTCTACGTTCAAACAAGAAGCATTTTTTATTGTTTAAATGGGAATTATATGAAGAAATTTGCTGAAGCTATAAAAATATAGACGCAAAATTGCACTGTGCTCCTAATTAGTGACTTTCCTTTTTTCCCTAGAAAATGCTGGAAGATTTTCCTGATAAGTCCAGAAGAAGGCTACCCAATGACGGCGAACAGGTAGCAGGAATCAAAGATTCCATCTTCCTCATTACTTTGAACTATTTTATGATACATACCAGCAACTCCAAGGTCTCGTTGTGTTTTTCTAACCAAGAGGACAAAGGGTACTTTTTGGTTCTATCCTCATCAGTAGAGTTCAATAGATGTTGTTTAAGAAATCGAGGAGCTTCCCAAAGATTGCATATTTATAAAATTTTGAAACCTATTCTTAAATATGCAGAGAATTCGTAGTTTTGATTACTAATGTGCATGATGCAGAAATACAACAGGAGACTGCCTGCCTTGGAATGGTTACTGTTGTAATCTAACATTGCAGGAAATGAAAAGACATCTACAAAAAGAGCGTTCATTAGCGAGTTGAACTTTCTGGTTGGTTCTGTGATGAACAGAGATGACTGAGTTTCTAGATCTTATGTTGGAACATTACTCAGTGCATTATCTCTGTTTTTAAATGGACAAGGTCAATGCTTTTTTAAAAGGAAGATGGGTATGGTAGTTTGATTTCTGCCTCTATCAACATATACTCTTTCCTCCTCTTTTGAGGACATTGATATTCATTGGTACATTGGCATTAAATAAATGGCAGTTTTCAATAATCCCTTGATATGAAATTCTGCAAGAAGTTAAGGAAAATAAGATGCTCCCATGTGACTCCAATGTTTTGTTCCAGAAATGATAACATATATCCAGGAAACTCTCTACGTATCATTTTCCCCCTTTTATAAAAATCTGACCCTAATAGAAATAAGATACTCTACTTGCATGTAGAGAAACACATTTATCACCAGAAAGCAAACTGGAGAAGATGGTTATTTGAAGCAAATACATGTATAATAACATTTCAAAAAGTAACTTAATAAAACAAATTAACTCTAGAATTTGAGTTTCCTAAAAGCCTTTGAATAATTTTTAAGATTGCTCAGGAGGTTTTAGGAAATTATGTTTTGGGTTTGTCCAAGAGGGAATTCCCTAGCTCTTTTCCTCTTGACCCCCGATATTAAGTGATATCACTGGACACTAGCAAATCACTTTTAGAGGCAATTATTTTTTGGTTATTAAGGAAAATAATATTATCATGGGTGAAAGAGGTACAAGGTAAAAAAAAATCCTTAAATTTTGTCTTAAAAATAAAACAAAACAAAAAAAGGAAGACAAAGAAAAAAAAGTCAAAGATACTAAGTCATCAAAAATTAATTAATTAATTCCCAGCACTAGGAATTAAACCCAAGGGCCCTTTACCAGGGTCTTGTGCATGCAAGGCAAGCACTATACCAACTGAGCTATATCCCCAGACCTCCAATCCTTTTTATTTTTATTTTTAGATAGCATGTCTCCAAATTGCTGAGGGTTTCCCTAAATTGCAGAGGTTGGTCTCAAATTTGCAATTCTCCTAAATCAGCCTCCAAAGTCTCTGGGATTATAGGTGTACACCAAGCATCCAGTTCCTCTTTTTATTTAAAAAGGGAGCTGATCCTAAAATTCTAAAAGAAAGCTCAGCTAAACATTAGTTTAATTGGGAATCATGGTTTTGGAGCTCTATTACTGATTCTTTAGTTAGTCTGGTTATGTAACCAAATACCCTGCATCCTTAAAGGGGGCCATACCATGCATAACACAATTTTCAGAGAGAGAATGTCAATAGCAGCAGGAAAGGCAGAATGCTTACAATCAGAACTCCATTTACATTTGCATCATTAAGAGGGTAACTTGCTGCTGTAGGTGGGATTGTAGGTCACATCCCGTAAAAGGGCTCGCCAAGCCTGCATCCCCCATTAAGACAGGAAAATCATAGAAAATAGACAAATATATAGATGCCATATTCAAACACACCTTCATTTACTGTGGCCACAAATAAATTTAAGAAAGGCAACACATCTTCCTGAAACCCATTAAATGATAAGCTTTAATCATAAAAGTATAGAGAGGTCTAATTCATAGAATTTGCCAGTCACAATTCCCCATAGCAAGTGATGAACGCGGGTGGATTATCACTGGTCTTTCTCATCTTAGGAGCTGTGTTGTAGGAAGGGGTGCAGACCGTTTTCTTCATGGGTAAATCATTCACTTAGGAAAAGGCAGATCGTTTCAGGGAGTCATCTACCCCCAAGACTGTTCATCAGAAAGAACTGGCTCTGCCATTCTATTCACTAACTGTGCTTTTTAACAACTTACATCGAACAGATTTAATCCCCAAGTGAGTAAAAAAGATAAAACTATGGCAAACCTTTAGATTGTTTCTTTCCTAAGTAAATTCTTAAAATAATAGATTGTCCAAAACATTAAAACCATTTTCTCCTTCTAGGGAAATAGGTTTATCGACTTTTTATTTTATTTAATATTGAAATATTTAAATGATCATTTCTTGAGGAAGATGAAATTCAGAGTAGTGAGACTTATAGACATTAAAACCAGGTTTCTAGATAATAGAGCAGTTTCACTCCATTGAAGCTACTTTGGTGAACCTGAGACTTAGAGATAATTCTCTCAGTTATCCAAAACAAAGCTGTGGAGGGAATCATTTTAGAAAGCAGAACTTAACTCCTTTGTTTTTTCCTTCCTTTACCTTTTTGTTTTTTTCTGTTTCCCTATTAGAGGTGAAATGAATCATTTTGTGCTCATTAAAAATTTAATTATTTGAGAAAAAATAACTGTGAGAAATTAAAAATGCCAGTTTTTCCTCTTCAATTGGAATAAATACAGTTACAAGCCAAGACATTTAAAAATAATAATTGATTTAGCACTGAGCCAACTAAATAGGACAAATTACATTTTCTGTAACACATCCTCAAGACTACCTTGATTTTTTTCTGAGCTCCTTTCTGCAGGAGTTAAGACTTTAAGTAATATGTCATGCTGTTTTTGAAGTCAGGTTCTATGGCAATATAGATAATTCTGTGAATGCTGTGCATGATGCTACAAGCATCTGGGCACATAACTTAAAGTGACGCTATCTTTTATTAAAATTAGGTAAATAATACACTTTTATTTAATTACTCTATTATTATTCTTTTTAAAATTCCTTCCCTTTGGTTTTACTATACATGCGGCTGTTCACTTTGAGGCAGCACTAAGAATTTATTTCAAGGACTCCATCACGTTCTAGATAAAAAGTATTCCTGATGTTCAGAATCTCCAGAAGTTTAAGAAACAGAGTTCTAAGGAGCTCAGTCAGTGTGCCTATGATGAATGAATTTAAGTACTTGACACTGAGAAGATAAGTCTTTCTTCATCTTTCAACTTTTTTTTTTTTTATAACATCTTAAAGAGGGTTTTTGAAGGGCAGGTAAACCTATATGTTGAAGTTACCTGAAACATTCTCATGGGAACAGAAAGAAAAGAGTACAGATGCAAGACTCGAATCAACCGGGCACAGGAGATGGACAGTTAATGCTGACAGCACCATCCTAGATGAAGTGGGAGCACGGAAGCAACCACTGTAGGTCAGAAAGACTGTTCTAGAAATGTGGTCACTGCAGAGATACTTCTCAAAATGATCCTCTCGTTGAAAGTAGATTAACATGATCAGAAAATATCCATGAAAAAGAAAAACAATATAAAAATTTACTTTTTTTTTTTTTTTTTAAAGAATAGAAACAAGGCTCATGGATTTGGCCTGTCTGAGCTTAGAGATCTCGACTGAGGCTTAGAACATTGGTCGTCTCATGTCCTTAGAAAATTTAAAATGGTGCTTCTTGTATAAAGGGTTCATCGGTTAAGCCATAGAAAGAGACACAGCTGCTGATGGGCAGTGGTTAGACTCAGGCCTATACTTCATCTGTGACACACACTGGGTTCTTTCCTTTCCCATGAACTTCGTTTCGGTTTTAACAGAAGGAAAGCCATAGACACACAATACTGTAATCTGGAAGCATACGTAAGGCAGCAAAAAGCATCACCCTAGAATGGACAGATTAAGGAAGGTCCACTTTTGACTACACTAGCAACCAGCTGGAGCCCACAGCATTTTGCCACATGAGACAGAAAAACAAGATCCACAGCGAGGGAGGCAGTGAGAAGTCAGGGACGTGGTGGCGTGTGTGTGTGACTATGTTAGAGGAACACTCTAGAAAAATGAAAGCCCCGGTGCCAATAGGTTCAATTCCAGTCAAGTAAATTAAGGCTACTAGATAATTGGCTGAGATGAAGAGTCCATTCCAATCGAGCAGAAAGGAACCGATTCACTCTCGAAGACACAAAAGAAAGGTTGAGAAGAAAAGCAAGTTCTTGGGAGGGAAAAAAATGGAGCACACACATGCACGTTGTTTCTCAGGTGAGAAGAAGGAAAAAAAAAATTAAGAGAGATCAAAGCAATCCAACTGCAAGGCAAGGCAGGTGTCTGCTCCCGGTTCACAGTATTGCAGTTAGTGGTGGAGTGAGGTCTATGTAAGTGGTGGAGAGTAGAGAGGCTGCCCAGAGGAAGAGGGAAGAAAGAAGTGGTCACATGACAACACAGCATTGACAGCGCTTTTTCTTTTGGGTACCTGGGGCTGGCTCTGTGGCCAGGCTCTCTTCCTTCCCTTCTGGGGACGAGGGTTCTGTGGTATCTGAGACCGGCCTCCCGGACACAAGCTCGGCTGCGTTCCCATCAATGGTGGACACGTCCGTCACTGTCTTCTCTCTCAATGACTTCTCATCGTCTTCGTCGATGAGGACCAACTCAGCCTTGATGGTTTCGTCGTAGCCTAGCACCTTTTTCGTCTCCTCTTCATCTTCGATATTTTGGTAGCCCATAAAAATCATGGTGACGGGCTGATCCAAGCTTGCTTCTGGCCCTTCCGTGCTGGGGGCTTGGGTCTGCTGCCCTGGGTTCCCAGGAGAGTGATCTTTCCTAGATTTATGGACCATTTCTAACTTGGCTTCTTTGCAGAGCATGTGTTCCTTGGGGTGGCCGAGGCTCCCGTCCGCAATCACAGTCCTTTCTGACACGTGGTCTCCTCTCAAGCTTGATTGTCCAGCCTTCTGAATAAGCTCTTCCACATCCTTTGCGCTTAATTTGTGCACTCCGTTTTCTACCACGGTGCCTCCCGAGTGCACCTCATACACTACTTTGGTACCATCATCATAGACTTTGACTCCTCTCTGATGGACCCCCTCTGGGCCAATGGTAGATGCAGAGAGAATCTTGGTCTCTCCTGTTTGTTTGTCTTTCTCCACATTAATTTCCATGGCGTACACAGCTTGAATGAAAACAAGAGAAAGGAAGTGCATGTTACAACAAAAAAAGCCAGTGATTGGTTAATTGCCAAACAGACAGAAAAAAAAAAAATGGCTCTGTGCCCTCTCTATTCTAACCGCCAAGCATCCTGAGTGTTAGAGTGAGGTGCACATCGTGGACAGAGGCGGTTACGTGTGCATTTTAACACAGCAGCTTAATGCACTGGGAAGACAGAAGTACACAGTTACTGTATCTCAATGACACTGAGACTTTCAAGGAAGAACTGATAAAATAAGTTCACACGAGACTTTAGATTTAGGCGGAAAGAATTACAGGAAGGCTGACAGCCCACACATTTACCTTGGTTGTGGGCTTCCCTAGGTTTACAGACAATCTAAAAGCCCTTGGTTAAGATGTGTCCCGGTTCCAAAACCTTAAATCTTTTGTCAACTCTTTCCTCAAGTGTTCTCATTTCCTGTTTTTTCCCCTCCTGCTTTTCTTTTCAAACCCAGGGACTTGCACGTGCTAGGCAAGGTCTCCACCACTGAGCCACATCTCTATCCCTCTCGATTTCCTTTTGCTATGAGGGTGAATATGCCCAGGCTTTTCTAGGAGAGACATGGATATCCTCTACTATGCTATAAAACAGGGTGTTTGCAAAAATTACAAGGTGTGAAGTTATTCATGTCACATGCTTTGTAAGTACTTCAGTCACTAGGGAGGTTTCCAAAACAAGAACTAGGAAAAGAATAAGACAGACGCAGTGGCGTCCTATGACACTACAGTCTAAGGATGAAATCGCAGAAGGCTCTTTCTTCTTCCATGTACACAGTGCCAAGTCCCTGCCATCCTGCCCCTTAATACCTTTTCTGTCGTATTCTTTCATGACCCAACATGAGACTCCTTTCCTCTTCCCTGGATTGTTGGAAGAACTTCCTACTGGGGAAGCGGACTCTCCAGTCTTGTCCCCTCCGACTCACCCCGCACCTGCTGCCAATCTGGTATTCCTGAGGATCAACTCTTTCCTGTCCTATAGACACTCTCAGGACACCTCATCCTTTCAAGTCCTTTCCCTCATAGGCTCCCTGTGAGGCACACTTTCTGGATGGGAGGAAGCTGGGTCCCAGGCCCACAGAGCCACCTGTGGGGGCCCTCTTTACCTGGATGATGCACTGACACGTCCGACTCAGCAGCCTCAACGTGATCCCACCTTCTCATGAAACTCTTCCACAGTCTTGGTGTTAAAACCCCCAGCACCACTACTCACTCCGTCTCTCAAGTCAGAGTCACACATGATTCACGTTTTCTTCCTAACTTCTCACCTCACAGCCAAACCATCACTGCAAGGGAGACCTGCTTCAGACCGCCCCTTGCATCTCCTCACCACCCCTTCCACGCCCCCACAGCCTCACCCCGCACGACAGCCTTCTTCCAGAGTTTCCTGACTCTTCTCTCTTCCACTGTCTCAGGGACAGTGGCTATTGCCAGAGAGCCAAAGGCAGCCTGGGGCCTCTTTCTGCATGACCAGAGGTTTTCACAGTTTTAAAAGGGAGGAGGAGGGTGGGGCGTGGAAGAGGGTGAGGAGGAGGGAAAGAAAAGGAAGAAAAAATATAAAGAATATGAGGAGGAGGAGGAGGAGGAGGAGGAGGAGGAGGAGGAGGGAGGAAAGGAAGAAAAAAAATATAAAGAATATGCAATAGAGATCCTATGAGGTCCACAAAGTCTAAAACATTGACCATCTGGCCATTTGTAGGAAAAGTTTGCCAAGCCTGTGCCATGCCTGTTCACCATCTTGCCCATGAAGTCACCTTACTGAGAAACCCTCTGCTGCTTCTTGTCAATAGAGGATAAACACCAAACTCCACCACTTGGCCAGCTCCCTTCAGAAGTGGCCTGCGACCTTCCTTTCTCGCCTGTCTCCCAGCCCTCTGTGCTCCACATACTCTGGCCACAATAAACCTCTCACTGTTCCCAGGACACAGCCCAGCATCCCCTGTGCCTGTTGTCCTTTGGCCTAGCCTGCCCCTTGTCCCTGTCCAATGGCAGACTTCTAGAGCCTTGCTTATCATGGTTTGAGTCCCCGCCTTTCTGAATATCTACCTGCTAAGAAGACCCAAACTATCTTTCCAAACATATATTCTATCACCCCCTTTTCCTTGAGCACAACCATGTAACACGTTTCCATATCTAGGTATTTCCTGTTTTTATGATTCCCTTCTGAAATGTCCTTCTTTTGACTTTCTACCCAACCAAATAGGACCCATTCATCAATGTCAAGGTCAACTGCCCCTCTCCCATGAGCTTTCTTGGGTCCTCCCATCTCTAAGTCATCCTTCTCTCCTTTAGATTCTCTGAACACCTTTTCTAAACTTATCTGAGGGCACTTAACAATTTCCACCCAGCAGTATAACTGTTTGTGGGAATGTTTTATCACCTTCATAGAGTTTTAGGATCCTTAAAAGTAAAGTTGCTGCCTGCCACCTTTCTATGACTGTCCCACTCTGCCAGCACCCACCTTAGAACCTTTTGTATAGAAGGTTCCAGACATTCACACCCATGAAACAAATGCTACTAACTAAAGAGTCTAATTTGATGGTCTTAACATAGTCACAAGTACTTTGTATAATAATATGACACCAATAAGAAGTTACATACAGTAATTAATGTTTAAACTGATTTTAAAAAACAGCAATGATATTGTTCTGTCTGCTTGCATAATAAGACAGTCTTTTAACAGTTCACACTTCACCAACAAGATTAAGGAGCAAAAGCCAATGCCCAATTTTCACCATTACTGCCTTAAATGTTTCACTTGTTTTGTATTAGGATTTTGAGTTTTCTCAAGTGACACAATGGAAGACCGGCCATTATTTGTCACTGAGGTACATGAGCTCACATACAAAGATTGTGATGTCAAAAGAAAAATTCATCTCAGTTATTTCCTGATTTTCCACATGATGCCATCAGGGAAGTGAAATATGAATTTAAAATTTTGCATGGTCTCCAAAAGCCTGTTATTGAAATATTACAGTTATATTAAAAAGCACAGTCTTGGGCCAAAATGTTCTATCCTACTACCATTAACACACTCAAGAGATATAGGTTGTCAGTTTGCAGGTACAATATTGAATTATCCCCAATCATCCAGAGACAGGTGAACAAAATGACGCATTGACCCACCATCAATACAAAATATAGAACAAAATATTTTTATTTTCGCATACGTATGTGAAGGATACAAATTATTAGCACGGAAATGTTTAGAAATGTCCCTCTTCCTTTGGTGCCAATGAGGACATGTTATTGTCGTTTCAATCCCTCCCCAACCCTCCAACCTCACTTTACCTTGTTCTGCTCCTAGAATCAGAGACTGGAAAGAACAAAGGTATGATGAGCTCTTTGCTAGGAAGGTTAAGTAGATCCACACATAAAGGGGTGAGGTAATGACGCAGCCACACCAATGAACCACATGTGACATGTTTTATTAGGGTTACATAGTGCATCTATGTTTACATGTTATGCATGTTTCTTTCAATATTTCTAGAATCTGAGTGTAGAATATTTTAAGCCTTTTAGCATACTTTTATAATAAGACAAATTTAAGATATGTTATGCAATAAAATTCAATATTCATATTTTTTCCCTCAGATAAAACACAAGCCTTTAAAGGAATCAGATTTTTAGCAGGTTCCTCAAGGATATGCTCCCAATTCCTTCCTGCACTTACTCTTGAACCCTTCAAGAATGTCTGGCTTACCCCAAGAACAATATTTGGTCCTCCTGGAGAATAACATGAGATGTTATTTAGACATTCAGAAAATTGCACAGGAGGTGTGAAGATTTATCTTAAATATATTCTGTATGAATAAGCACTTAGATTTTGCTTCAGTTCTCCAAAATGCACAAACTATGAATGATGGTAGATATGAACAAGTAGAATAATAAGACTTTTAAATTCAACATTTTGGGGGTTTTGTTCTGTTTCTTTCTCTTTTGGTACTGGGGACTGAACCCATGGCACCTGCTAAGCATGTGTTCTATTAGCTCTTTTTATTTATTTATATATTTTTATTTTGAGATAGGGTCTCACTAAGTTGCTAATGGGGCCTCGAACTTGGGATTCTCCTACCTCAGTCTCCCAAGCAGCTGGGATTACAGGATTGGCCCACCATACCTAGCCTAATGCACCCAATTTTCAATCCTCTTTTGCTTCTGACTGCTGCCAAGTAGTTTATTCCAAGCCTCTCACCCCTGGCAGGCCTTCGTCTCTCACCACCAAGAATGCCCTCCAGTCTGCCCCTGGCTGCCCCCAAGCTTCCCCATGCTGGAAGTGCCTGCAGTTTGTACAGTGGTGAGGGTCAGAGGGGCCTGGTGCTTTTGTTCATCTTGGAGAGGTGAGGAAGAAAAAGTATTCTTGAGGGGAGGGGCTTTCTGGGGAGCCCCTGAAAGAGATTCCAAAAGAGCCCCATAGACATATGCAAAAGTAACAGTTCTCCAAAACTTCCTGGAGGAAGAATTTGGGCAAGAAGCGAAACATATGAGATACAAGAAAGTTCAAAGAACATTTCACTCACAGGTTGACTGGGGTATGGAAGTACACTTTTATTCAACAACATATTTAACTATGGATTTCCAAACATTACATATTGATGGAGTAGATAAAGCACTTTCACTAATCTTTCCAACAATCCAGGGAGACAGCTGAGCACTATGAGTGAAGAATCAGAACCACTGTGGCAGTCGGGCAGGGTGGCGCAGGCCTGTCATCCCAGCGGCTCTGGAGGCGGAGGCAGGAGGATTGCAAGTTTCAAAGCCAATCTTGGAAACTTAGTGAGGCCTTAAGTAACTCAGCGAGACATGGTCTCAAGATAAAAAATAAAGAAGGGGCTGGGGATGTTGCTCAGTGGTTAAGCATCCTAGGTTCAATCTCTAAAGCAAAAACAAAACAAACAAAACAAGATATGGCTGGCTTCTTCAGAGGGATGCGAACGAACAGCGCTTAAGTGCTTTGATTTTGCGCTT